AGCTTTCCTGCTCCTCTGATGCTGCCTGGCCTGCTGTGTTCCTCCAGCTCCACACTGTGTTATCTCTGACTCCAGCATCGGCAGTTCCTACTATCTCACCTTTTAATTAGGCTCTCGACAGCTTTCTGAACTCAACATTGAGTTCAACAATTTCAGACCATGATCTCTGTCCTCCATTGTGTTTCCTTTCGTTTTTCACAGGATTTGATTTCACTCTTGGTTTTCTATTTTATTTAATGCCTTCACAAAGCAGCTGTTCATCAGTCAGCCATGCACATCTTGTGTTTCTTTTCTTGTCACTATTCTTGCCTGGGGTGCTGCACACCTGCCTCTTATGTCATTGAATTTTTCCTGTTTTGCACCTTCTCACTGGCTTTCCCTTTTTGTTCTCTTTCCCACTTCACCTGCTTAAAATCTATTACATTTCCAGTTTTTCCCAGGTCTCATGAAAGGTAATCAATATGAAACATCAACTGTTTCTCCCTCCACAAAAGCTGCCTGGCCTAGTACACACGCCTAAGTCATTTGGAGCAACGTCCCAAAAACCTGAAGCAAAATAGTGCTTTATTTTTTAATAATTTTTTAAGCAATCACAGCCATCTCATGTAACATGGGCAATAATCCTGGCTACACAAATCGGACCTTAACATACAGGCTTGAGGCTAATTAAATGTCAGGAAAAACTGTCTTGTTTACCTCATGGTGATAAAAATCTATCAAATGATTTTGTAAAACGGGAAATGATGTGAGGAATACCATTCAAAATTCAAAACCAATCTGATTGTTCAGGATTTTTTTGCACTTATCCAACTAAAGTTATTGCATTAACACAACAGAATGCACAGATTCATTAACCATGTACTCACTCCTGTACATTTGTTTGACTGACAAAAAGCATGGAAGGACATGTGCAATTATACAATTGACTATGATGTGAGATCTCGGAAAAGGAACCCCAAATGTCCAAAATAGTTGCCGGTATCAGCTTTATAGAACTTGCTAGATGGAAGCCAAGTAATATATAATATATGTAAAGACAGGTGATTGGCTGATTGCTATTCCTAACACAGGCACAAGGCTAATCAAGGGGGCAGGGAGGGGGATGAACATTTGCTGGAACAATGCCCAGGTGAAGCAGGTGTTGAACAGAATGTTCCAGCAAGCACCTCAATTTACAGATGTAGCCCTCAATCAGTTCCACTGTCTGCCCAGGAACTACTATTGACCAAAAAACAGAAAGTGCTGGACAAACTCAGCAGGTCCGGCAGCATCTGTGGAGAGAAAACAAAGTTAATGTTTCGAATCAAACATGATTTCAGTCCAGAACTTCTTCATCTCTTCCCTGAAGTTCCAAAAAAGAGTCTTTTATTAAACTCAAAACACTAATGTCTCTGTGTATAGATGATTCCAGATCTGCTGAGTTTCTCCAGCATCTTTTGTTTTTATTTACGATCTCAGCATTAGTGGTATAATGCTTTTGTTGAACTATCCCCTTGGCCTGTTACTCTTTCTCACTTACATGCTGCCCCTCTCCAACATATTCCATGCACAGGGAATGAGCTGCTACATGAATGCTGATAACAACTATCCTCTCTACCTAATGGCTTGATGTTGTAACCACAGAAGGATGGATACATTCAATAATACCATTGACTTGAGGGAGTTTGGGAGTAAAGAGTTAACACTTGACTCTGTAATCAGGAAAACTTTTCAGCGTTGACATAACAGATCACACAATGATGAAGAGGGATTCTGAAGAGACAAGTAAGACTCTGGACCTCATGATAAGTCTACAGTTAGTTTAGTATGAAGAAACAATTACCTTGAAAAGACCTTAGCCTCCAGCAACTTCTCCCTAGTAATTTAATAGCCCCAACGTCCTCTGAAGCAAACAATACAACAACAGACTTCATGCCTTGATACTATTGTACAAAATCAAATGCTATGTTGATCAAGGCCAGTATTTTCAGCTGACACTCATAACGCTGTTACCTTGTTACCAATTCTAATCCACTTCCTGGTCATTGTCTCAGGCTACATTATACAACTTGCAATTTGCACATTTTATTTCTCCTTGAGTTTCCAAAGAAACATCTCCATCGCCAAAACTATATACTTGAACCTCAGTACAGTCACCTGCATCTACCTCCACTGTAGACACCTTGCAATTGATGCCTCATGCATCAACTGGTCACCTCCAGATTTAATGAGGTTAAAAATAATGTGGCCCTGTATTTGAGTTTTTCCTAGACCAGGGTGTTGCAATCAACTGTGTTACTCTCTGCACTCCCTGATCAGAACAGCTAATTTAGCACAGGCCAGGCACCAAACCTGGGAATTCTTACTCTGCATAGATGAGTAACCCACCCTGCAATGCGTCCAAGCTGTAGGAGCCAATGCTTTTTTAAGCAATAATTTTCCAGAAATCTCTAATTTTGGCAACAGCAAGAGGATACTCCAGAAGAAGACACGTGCTAGTCCCTGATCACCATTATTTTTAATCAATTCCCATGTAATTTCTTACTGTTGTTTATCTGATGAATGGATAATTCAATACTCACCTGGTTTAGACAGTCTGTAGATGCAAGGTCTGTATCATAAGCCGGTGAAGCTTCTGACAGGGTGGTTCTTATCGTGGGTCTTGCAGCTGCAACACTCTAATAGAGAAGACATCGTCAAAGTTGCACATTCTAATACTTAAATAAATCGTTACTGTCATTTTCACAATGTGCTCTAAAACTTAGATTAAACATCAACTATATCGAGGTTGAAAGCAGTGTGTTTAGCTTCTGTTGCTCTGCACACAACAGCATTTGGTTTGATATTTGACCTAATAGCAAATATTGAAATTATAAATATTTACTTGGTGATAATATTAACAATGTACATTAACTAACCACACCCCACTCATTCCCTTCTGAGGCTGGAGGTTTGTGGGTTTAAGTCTCACTCTAAAGGCTTCAGCCCAAATAAACCAGGGCTGGCAGCATAGTTCCGGTACTGAGAGGGTTCTGCACTATCAGGGGTGGCTTCTTTTAGGTGAAATGTTAAATTCTGGCCCTTACTTGCCTGCCCTTGTGGGCATAAAGATCCAACTGCACAATGTCAAGTGGAAGTCTTGTCAGTTTCATGGCCAATATTTATATCTCAACTGATATTATCTGGTCATTATCACACTATTTTTTATTTTGGAACTTGCTCCATGCAAGTTGGCAGTTCAGTTCCCCTCATAAGAGCAATCATCACACTGCATAAGTACTTCATTGACTGCAAAGCACTTTGGAGTGTACCAAGGTCATGAATGGTTCTTTATGAATGCAAGATCTTTCTTTGAATTGAACCTGCTTGTAAACGAAATGGAGGGAAGCCCATAACCAGACAGCTGTTTGCAGGGTGACAACTTTAATACGATTCACATGATGTAAGCAGCCTAGGATTTGCACTCCTTGCTCATGACTATTACTTGACATTGCAAATGTTTTGAAACTTTAGTTTTTGATTCCACATGACACATAAACAGAAATTAAACATAAATAAGATAGCAGTGTCATTAGACTACCGGCACTGTCTTCAATATCAGGGGTGGAGTCATTACTATGTAGGTAGGTGCTTGTGCTGCTAAGATCAGTCACAACTTGAATAAGTCATTAGATCACCTGAAAGTGCCCAGTACAATGCCCACTCTTGGTCTCCGAAGACTTAGGTGCTGTTGGATTACTGTTTAGTTGATTGACATAGCCCAGAAATATTCATAAGACATGCCCCAAACTGGTTCAGCATTGAGGGGTACAGACGGGCCAGAGATGGTTTTAAATGAATCAGAGGGGTGGAGGGTTCTGGTAAGGGCATATGTAACCTTGTGAAGTATTGCTGGGTAGCTATTTAGGTCATGCTCTCTCATGCAGGTTCCTACATACCAGGAGAAAGGGCATCTACAGAATCTGAGGGTCTGCATTCCACCTCTGAGGAGAGGGTTTACAGTTACATTACTCCCCTGCGCCCTCCATCAGTGCACTCCTACATTGTGGGATTTCTTAGGTTACAGGAGGATAAAGGACGGGCAGATCAGTGGCAGGTGAAATTTAACCCTGAGAAGTGCGAGGTGGTGCACTTTAAAATAAGTAACAAGACTAGGGAGTACTCAATGAATGGCAGGAACACCAGGAAGCTCAGAGGAACATAGGGATCTAGAGGTGCTTGTCCACAGATCCCTGAAGGCAGCAGGACAAGTTAATAGGATGGTTAAGAAGGCATACATATGGCAGAGATTATAAAAGCAAGGAGTTTATATTGGAGTTGTACAGAAATTTGGTTCAGCCACAGCTGGAGTACTGTGTTCCATTCTGGTCACTGTCATACAGGAAGGATGAGATTGCACTGGACAAGGGTGCAGAGGAGATTCACCAGAGAGTTGCCTGGGATGGAGCTGCTTAGTTATGAAGAGAGGCTGGATAAGCTTGGGTTGTTTTCGTTACAGCAGAGAAGGCTGAGAGGGACTTGATTGAGACGTATAAAGTTATGAGCAGCATGAACAAGGCAAATAGAAAGCAGCTATTTCCTTTAGTTGAAGGGTCAATACAAATGGGCATCATTTTAAAGTGAAAGGCAGGAGGTTTAGAAGACATTTAAGGAGAAACAACTTCAGAGGGTGGTGGGAATCTGGAATGCATTGCCTGGGAGAGTAGTTCAGCAGGGAAACTTCAAAACCTTTAAATGGTTTTTGGTTGAGCACTTGAAATGTTGCAAAATTCAAGGCTATGGGCCTAGTGCTGGAACGTGGGATTAGAGTAGAATTAGAGTCTTTCTTTGTCGATGCAGAATTGATGGGCCAAAGGGCTTCTTCTGTACTGTATGATTGTATGAGTCTGTGATAGTTATATCTTCATGATCAGAGGGAGGTTATAATAGTCGAGACCCCTGACAGTCAGAGGACTGTGGGAGACCGTACTAAGCTGGCCACAGGCCTCTGGTGTTGGCCAAACAGACTATGCTGTATACGCAGCGAGAGGAAAGAGACTTACAGAGGCTGTGTATAACCACATGTGAATGATAGGAGAGTCTATCTGTGCTGTGATTGCTGCTCTCTCTCAGGTACACATACATGTGGCTAGCCCCATCAAAGGATTGATACTGGACAGCCATAGGCAGCAGGCCAGTCAATGGATGCTCGAAATGTGTGTAGGCCTGCATCCCATAGCCTTGGCTATCAGTAATGGCAAGGTTAGAGAGGACAGAGGGCTTGTAGTCTCCTCCAGCTCCAAAAGATAGGGAGGCAATGGCCTACTGGTATTTTCGCTGGACTGTCAATCCAGAGAGCCGGATAATGTTCTGGGGACCCACCACAGCAGACGGTGGAACTTGAATTCAATAAACAGGAATAGAATCCACTGTCAATTGTCAGAAAATCCCATTAGGTTCATTAATGCCCTTAAAGGAAGGAAACCACTGTCCTTACCCGATCTGGCCTACATGTGACTCCAGACCCAAAACAATGTGGTTGACTCTTAACTGCCCTCTGGGATGGGCAACAAATGCTGGCCTGGTCAGCGATGCCCTTGTCCCGCGAATGAATTAAAAAAGGGGTGAGTGTGCTTCACAGGGAGGGAGGGAGGGCAGTCCACCAGCCAGAAAGCTCAGAATGTGGACTCCTCAGTCCCTCTGTCAGCGACCACAATATCTCCAGTAGCTGTGATGATACCGACCCTGTGAAGATCATGGCAGGGTCCTCCAAGTCTCAGGCAGCTAGAGAACAGCTGCAAAGTCATCCCAAACCATAGGCCAGTCTTCTCACTTACCAGCCTCCACTCCAGCTGTAAATGCAGGAGGAACACTTCACAGCAGCGCTTTAGGCAAGTAAGAAAACACATTAGGGATAAAAGCACAAAGTGCTAGAAATCCTCAAAAGGCCTAGCATCATCTGGGGATGACATTAGAGTTAACATCCTGCGATGAATTATAACTCTTCCTTAGAACACATTTGTCTTGAAACACTAACTCTGTTTCTCCAGAGATGCTGCCAGACCTGTTGAGTTTCTCCAGCATTTTCTCTTTTTGTTGCTGATTTCCAACATGCGCAGTATTTCCCTTTTAATTTAGATGCACAAAAACCTCATTGCTGTTGAGGATTGTTGTTGCTATTTTCAATAAATAACTGATAGATTGTGGGCTGTTGATGCAGTGAATGCTGTCTTATCTAAAGCTAAAGCCTATCCCCCCTCACTCTGCCTATCTGTAACAGGAACAGGCTGAGTCTCCTCAGATGTGGCAGGGGACTAAGCGATGGTGATCGATATGAAGAAGGAATGTTATGTCAAAGTAGGCGGAAAACTTTATTACATGGGCACTTCAGGAGCATTGCAGTTGCAAGAAGAATGTAATGGGATTGCTTCCATGTAGTCTTGCCATTGCTCATGCCTCCCATACATGGGAGTCATTGTCCAGTCCTCTGCTCTGACCCTCTTCCACAAATGCATCATCTGATGAAGAGTTCTTCAAATCCTCTGGTTGCAAGGGCCCTCCCACTGCACAGGACACAGCAGATGATGATAATATGGAAGACACTTACAGTATAGGCTGGAATCCCATCCTCAGGATTGTTGTGGTCATGGTTCACTGGAATCAGCAACAGAACACATCATAGACAGAGAGTAAACTTGAACAGGGAATACTTTGTTCTTTATTGTGCATCGTCTCAGCTCCACAGTCGGTCCTAGCCTGCCCCTCTATCTCTACCTTCCAGTTCACCTGACACGGTCTCCTGATGGGGCAATACATACCCAACTACATACATTATCCCCACCCCCTTTATTTCCATACTCCTCTTATCAATATAGGTGCATCTAAAAATTATTACACAAGCACTGTAGCTAACATATAAATATCATCAGGAATATTTACAAAAAGACACATGGAAAAGGAAACAACCCTCATGCAGTTTACATTGACATGATCAGTCTCTCAGGCGGATGGCGATTACTAGAAGACCATCTCCTTGTCTCAGGAACCTTTTCTAGTGTAGCCACCTAGACTGCTGGTAGCTCCTATTGTTCTGCAGGTAGGTCCCTCTCTGGCTGCTGTTACCCTGTGACGCTGGTGTTGTATCCACCCTGGGTATGGCCCAACTCTGGCTGGGAGGCACATGACTTTGGTCAACACCCCTGGTCCCATCTGTATCGGCTTGGTATTCTGAGGGATATTCCCCATTGGTGAGTTGCAATGACCAGCTGGTCCATGTGCCTCCTCCAGACCAGTTCATCCCTAGTCTATATCTGACAACACGGCCTCTCCTCTTTGGAACACCTTTCACCATAAAGTTCCTGTCCTTCTGGCCATCTGTTCTTCCTGATTTCGCTCTACCACCTCTCTGCTCTCTTCCAACCGCAGCAAGTTAAACATGGTTCGCAGCTGATGGTTGAACATTAAGGACACTGGTGAGCACTGGGTTGTTGTGTGTAGCATGTTTCGGTACATGCTGAGGAACCTATTAATCAGCCTCCTAGTGATCCCTCCCTTTGTGAAGCCTTTAATGCCTGTTTCAAGGTTTGAACAAATCTCTCCTCCTGGCTATTCATCATATTTTCTAAATCAGGAGAAAATTCAGAGGTCTGAAGTGCAAAGACACTTTGGAGTTCTAGTCCAGGATTCTCTCAAGGTAAAC